TCGCGTAGGGTGCCATCAGACAATTTCAGCCAACCTGCCCTGAAAAACCTTCCTTCAAATTGATCTATGTGCATCCGAGCTTTTATTGCTCCTATTGCTCAAAACTTTACAGAAGTTTTCTGGGCACATGTTTTGCCATTGGTTAGAGGGGTTATGCCTTGTGCCTCCAGGTGTGTACACAGTGGCCTTTCATTGTAAGTTGTACGACGTCGTCAATGACTGTCAGGAAAAAGAGCAAGCTGGAAATGCCGACCCAGCAGAGGCAACCATTTGTCGTTGAGTGGTCAATGCAGATGTCATCGACCACATACGATGGTTGCCTTTACTTCTAGAACCACCAAACAGATCCGGTTTTCCCAAGCCTTGCGGGTGCAGACAGTTGACCGTCAAATAGGACTTTTGATTCGTTTTGGGTGAGATGCGCTTGACAGCGAGGCTGAAAGACTAAAAGCGCGCTTGTCTGAGCTTGAAGCCAAGCTGGAGGCAAGGTTTTGGAAGACATCCGAGCCATCCGAGTATGCTTCGAGCAGAGTAGCGTTCTAGCAGATCCAAACTTTTTTGGTCAAGCTCTTCTGCACAAGAATAAAAGCTCATTGCACATATGTATATAATATATACTGTATATATATATATATTTATAAATATATATATATATTTATGTATATTATGTAAACCAGCTGGCTCGCTGTGCTTGAAACCTTTGCCTTCTTTTCAAAGTGATAGATTGATCTATTTGGATGTTTTGTGCACTTGTGTGCTGAATGAAGGCTTCCAAGCAGAAGCGTTTCTAGTGAGACCTAGTTCTTTTCAAGGTAGCAGCTACAGCATATATAATATATGCTGTAGCTGCTACCTTTAAAAACACTAGGTCTCACTTTCTTGGATTTCATTGGCAAAATTGGCTATTTTGGGACTACATTGACTTTGGTCGAATGGTCATCCCAACACAGGTGGGATTTTGTGAGATCTCTCTGATGGCCAGGAGGTTCAGCGAGGACATGATCCAGCCGAGGACGGCTGCAAAAGGTGTTTTCAACGCAGTTGTCAGAGATTCTCTTTGGAGGCCTTCTTGTATGGAGCCCTTCTTGTTTGTGCAGTCTTTTTTAGGCAGAAAGACTGAAAGCTCACTCGTTTGAGCTTGAAGCGAAGCTGGAGGCATTCTCGAAGCATTGGGATTTTTCCTGACTTTTGTCAACAAATATCTTGACCCAGTTTCAGGGTCTCTGCATGTGTTTCCCGACATTCAAGATGTGGATGTCCCTATTTGCTGATATCAAGATGTGAAGATTCAACATGCCACACTGGTTGTTGTTGGAGTGTATATCGTTATTTTTTTAGTTATTTTTTTTTTTCCAGCATGCAGGGCCTTCCTGAAACATGCACCAAAAAACGTTTCAATCTATGCTGAAACTCAGGCTCTTGCTGTTATTGACAGGACATGTCTACAGTCTATAGTCTATGAGTAAATGGCCTGGGGGCATCCCAGCGTTTTTTCCGGATTTCTTCCTTCAGACTTTCGGGGCTGGGCTTGCGCCGCTTTCCCAGGCTGCCGAAGCCCGTTGGGCCGCCGAAGGTCGTGCGGATCCGGGGCGGTCGGAGGGTGAGATGGTGAGGGTTCCTTGACGCTTCTCTTTTGGGGTCTGAATGAGAAGAACAACAGGTCAACAACAGGTCAACAGTTCAGCGGGTTGTTTTGTAAATAGTGATACTGGATTATCCTGAGTGATCGTCCATTAGATCGCTAGTAGTAACAAGAAGCTACTAGTAGCTCCTGGCCTTACTACTAGTAGCAAATTAGCTACTAGTAGCGATGCACCTGTTCTGAGTAGCGAATCACCTTGCTATGAGTAGCTTCTTGTTACTAGTAGCTGTACCTGAAACCTGGCTTAGAGACCGTTGCTACCTCATTCCTAACCCTCTCCAGGTGCCGCTGCCGTGGAAGGGTCTCAACGAATAGAGGATGCACTTGTAGTAGTGTGGGGCTGAGGGGGCCTTTCAAAGTCGAGCATGCTTGATGCTTGGGAATGTCTCTGAATAAACTTCATGGTCTTTTTTCTTGTTTCTAGAAACCATGGAATGGGTCGTGCACTTCCTGCGACTCGTGAGGTCTCTGAAGTCCGGGAGCTCTGCAATCGCACCTACCAAGTCCTCGAGGACAGTCCAGGCCGGGCTGTGCGCCCACCTTGGTTGGGCGGTTCTCGGCCCCCGCACCCGCAAGGTGAGCGGTCGAAATGGGCATTTAGTTTGGGAAAGATTGCAAGTTCCTTCGTAATTTTCTGACTACAAAGACAAGATGGACGGAAGAAAAAGGATTCACCTTCAGTTGTTCAGGTTGTTTTTGTCGTTCCGTTAAACTTGGTTGATTATCGTTCCGTTAAACTTGGTTGATTAAGCCTAGCAAACGCTGCCCCACAAAGCACAGGTGAAGTATTCAGACCACAACTATGTAGTCTTCATCCTTATCCATCCAGAAAAGGTACAGCAAAATTAGTGCTTAAATACATCACCATGTTTTTTCCAAGGAATTCTGGGGCTGAGACTCCCAAGAATACAACCGAGGTGAGCCTTCGGCAGAATCTTGCTCATCGGGCGATCTGCAGGCGTGGCCGTGATGTCTCTGACGTGGTTGGAAAACCTGTGAGATTTTTGATGCAGTTGGTCAGTGTTTCGCTTGAAAACGACCTCAAACGACCATGTTCAGGGCGAGCTGGGTCGCTGCCGCACGTCGGCCCACCTGGCGGTGGGCGCGGCAGAGCGGCTGGCCTCCGAGCGGAGGCGACGGAGCGGTGCTGGACATGAAACTACAGAGATTCGCCATGTGGCAGGTGGAGCTAGATGCATTCTTTCCTAGCCGATTGTGTAAGTTCCTGAGATGATCATTCACTTTGATCTTCAACTTTCCCTAGAGTAATTTCTGTGTGTGGACATTTCGATACATTTCGCAAAGCTGATATTTCCACCCATGCCCATGTCTCTCATTTCTCTTGGTCGTTCCGGAGGGGGCCTCTGACACCGACCAGGCAGCTGATGGCGAAGCTGGAGGAGCTGGAACGTGAGAGAAGGCCGACGCCAGCCACGACGGCCCAGGCGGAGAAGCCACGCGGTGCCCGGCCGTTGCAGGGCGGTGCCCAGACCACGGGTGATCCGATGTACCCCACAGCATGCTGTGGGCACCGGAGGGCCTTGGTAAGTATTGCCAGTGTTTTGGAGTGCCCAAACTAGCACGGTGCCGGAGAGTGGCCTTCACCTGGAAGAAACAGTCTCTATGGATTTGGCCAGTGAAGTGGGCCTGGGTGTCTTGATTCCGGGAGCCCCGAACCGAAGGGACGATACTATATACATAATTTGCATATATGTACATGTATACACCCCTTTTCTGAGATTCCTATAAGCGGTATAATGTCTCCGAGATTTGTGAAACTAGTGACTCTGCCAGGAAGCTCAAGCTGCGAAGGCGCCGTTTGTGTGGAGTCTGGTTGGATAGCAGCAGCTGCCAAAAGAGGGAAGATGATCCTTAACCACAAGAGAAACTTTGTCGATGGCCCACTAGGCAGAGCTACAAGATGTCCCCCTGCATAGAAATGGTAGCAGGGCGCAGAGTTCCGCACCCGAACCGAAGATCAAAGGCCTCAGAGGGCCGAGTCTTAGAGCTTCAAAAAATCCATTCTCAGAGAAGGATCATGATATTGTATCAGGCTTGGGTATTTGGATGTATTTGGTATATAAATACAACAAAAAACATATACATATATATATATATTTATGCATAGAGAGAATCTTGGATCCAATCAACCATGGATTCTAGACCAGCTCGCAATACATCGGTTCTTGGCTGCATGTTCAAAGTGACGACATGCAAACACCTGTGGGCAGGTGGTCTTGGCGATCCAACTCCATGTTCAAATTTGGAAGAGCAAATTGAATGGCCAAGATACCTCCAGAAAATGCCTGCACTAGCCATGCCGGCTTTGCATCCGTTGTCCACATCCTTTTGATTTCCCTCCCGACCGGAGAGGCCTTGCGAGACATTCGGCTACATGCCGAACAGCAGCTCGCGTGGGTCTTGCAGCGTATGAGTGTCAGTCACAGCCACCAGGCAACGCTGAAACGCTCCGAAGTTGCAGAGGACGGATGTACAGTCTGACTCACTAACTTGGAAGCGGAAAGATTCCTGTTCGTACAGGAAAGTAGTCTTTCAAGGGGGACCACTTTTTTATGTTTGTTGGAGGGAGGGTAAATTACATGGAGGTGACATTTATTTGGTGATATCCATCCGCAGCATGGAGACAAGTCTGGCGCAGTCGCATTCTTTTGAGATGTGTCTTTTCCTTTCTCAAGGACTCTTTCTCTGCTATATAAATGCACAGAAGGAAGGAAGGAAGGAGGGAGGGAGGGAAGGAAGGAGGGAAGGAAGGAAGCAAGCAAGCAAGGCCAAGGAAGCAAGGAAGCAAGGAAGCAAGGAAGCAAGGAAGCAAGGAAGGCAGGAAGGCAGGAAGGCAGGAAGGCAGGAAGGCAGGAAGGCAGGCAGGAAGGCAGGAAGGCAGGAAGGCAGGAAGGCAGGAAGGCAGGAAGGCAGGAAGGCAGGAAGGGAGGAAGGCAGGAAGGCAGGAAGGCAGGAAGGAAGGAAGGAAGGAAGGAAGGACGGACTTGTTTCGCACAAAAGTTAGTTTTCTGCACCCACAATCTGAGCTCTTTGAATCGATACATGGGGCGTACCCACGGTAACGATAGGAACAGAGAAAATCGATTGTGCTTGCTTCTCGAATCAGGCACTCCGACTCCTACCTAAAGCCAAACTTAACACAAGGATTTTGTAGGGAGATTCCGCTAGCCGCCAGTCAGTCTCCTCCTGGACTTTTGTTATTGTTTTGCTTCTGGGCCAGATGCATGGGGAGGCTGGGGATGCCCAGCTCTGCAGTCCTGTTGACTTTTGTTTTGGTTCGTTTCTGATGGAGACGCGGAACCCTTTCCCCAACCCCTTCATTTTTGAATTAAGCCAAGAAACAATCCAAAGCGAAGCCACACCCAAGCTGCCCCCAACCCTGTTCAACCAAGCCGAGCCAAAACCGAACGAAAACCAAACCAAAGACACACCATTTTTTGGGGAGACCACCAAAAACCAAACAGTCCTCGTCCTCGCCAGGACACTTGCAAATAGCTCTCCTCCTTGCGCGCGAGCGCCTTTTGGATCAAATCCCTGGACACTTTTAGCCACCAGAACATCTCGCCAAAGCCAACCCAAAGCAACCAGATACTCCTGTAACACCATATCAAAACCCTACCAGAAAAAGTTAAGAAAGAACACAGCCTCCCCAAAACAGAAAATCATTCCTCAAAAAAGCATCAACCCAAGTCCGGCGCTTGTTCTGCCTGTTCTGCCTGACTGCGGAAGAAGTCCTGGAGCCTCCTGCTGCTGGAGCCTCCAAAAGACCGTAAGTGTTGTGGATGCCCTTTGCCAGGTGGTTTGGGGAATTTGTCTAAAACCTCCAGAATTGTTGCTGGTGTGACATATCGCGCCCAACATATCTTCCGCCAGGCAGAACTCCAAAAGCTCGGCAGTTGACACAGCTCCGCAGTTGACGGCAGCCAAAGTTAGCGCATGCTGAGATTGATTTTCCTCCTAATGTAGCCTTCAGCTTCAGAGCTCAGGATCTTGGTCGATCGAAGAGATTGAGGTTTTGACTTTGACCGGGCTCTTTTCACGCCCAATTCATGCAAGGCGGTGTGGAGGCCTTGGCAAATTATTCTGTTATATTCTGTTTAACAATAACCCAACTTTGGTCTGACCAAAGGATTCTGGGCATGAAGCTGAAGTGAGGCAGAGTATTTCACCCCAGCGTTTCACTGACAATTCCGCAATTCAATGCTCTGGAGCCTACAATCACCCTACAAACAAACAGTTTTCATCATTGATCGATTGTCCATGCACAGTTTGGTGGGAAGATCCCAAGTGAGTAACATCTTTGAACCCATGAACCGAGAATGCACTGGCGTTTCTTGGTGGATGCAGCTGCTTCTTGTGTCGAAACATCACGGTTGGTATGGTCTTTCTTTGACAAAGACAATCTGCTTTGTGCCGATGAGCACGCCTCTTCGGCCTGGTCTTATTCGAGAGGGTTCCGCTGACCAAATCCGCAGACTGTTCTGGGCGCAGTGTAGCGTGGAACCCTCGATTTGCATGATCTTTTCCACGCTTGTCTCATCCAAAGCTTGTCACAAGCACAGGTGGGCAAGTGTATGGCAGCTGAACAGGATGGATGATGGAAGACTTGTTCTGAAGACAAATTGATTTCGTGTCACGCTCGAAAAAATTGCTGCCGATCGTCTGCCGCTGCCCCGCAGACTCTGAGCACATGCAGCTGGTAATCCTCTGCAGCTTGTGCCGCTGCGCCCCAGTCTCATGGCCCCGGTTCACAACTTCAGTGCGGTGGGATGTGGAGTTGTGGCTCCAGTGGGTCTCTCACAGGTCCCAGAATGATCTGGGTGATGAGGCCTGGGGGACGGTAGACCGACCAGTCTAAAATTGGAGCAGACCGCCCAGCTCGCCGCGAAAAGGGGGGCATTCCACAGCTCACGAGCGACCGCTGCGGTGACGGTCATGTGACGGTCATGGGTCCCTCGCGGCGAATCTTGTGGGTGGGGAAAGAGGATGGCTCTGTTGCTGAAGGCTCTCGACATGTATGGCACTGGTCGGCATCCCTCTTCACCCTGCAGCCACCTTATTTTTCGAGGTTCGTCAGTCGTCACTCTCATGAAAGCACAAGGGAGTCGATGTGACGCTTCAGAATATGAGAAGATCTTGATTTGATGAGGCGTAATTTATATGATCATCATGGTCATCCAGTGTGAGTGGAACCATCAAAGCCATAACAAAACTCTAGACATGAAGTGCACAAAGCCTTTCTTTACCTGTCCAGTTAGAATGCTTGGCCGATACAATGCTGACTCCGCCCTCGCGTCATTTGAAGGTAATGCAACAAAACGTTGCAGAAAGCAAGGCAGTCGCGGATGTACGACGCGAGCAAGACTTTTCTGCTAGAGTAGCTGCCGACAGAGCAAACATGCTGGCACGAAAGCGACAAAAACTGCGAACTGCTCAAAGAGAACGAGATGCCTTTCTAGTTCGTGAATCTTGGGTCCTGCTGAGAAGGTCTTTTATACATATATATATACATACATACATACATACATATCTATATATGTATATATATATACACATAAATAACAGTAAATAAATAAACACACATATATACATATATATATACATATACAGACACACACATATTTTGGTCAAGTTTGAATAGCTGTTCTAGGGTTTACAGAGATTTTGTTCTGTTGCGCAGGTTGGTTAGGAGGATTCAACCTTCCAGGTACGAGCATTGTTCGAGATGAGCCAACATCAGGGTCCGAAGGTGTCTGAGGGTGGAGAACCCCAGCGACTCCCTGAGCAACTCCCCGGGCCTCTGCAGCGAGTGCCTCTGGAGCGGAAGTTCGTCTCGAAGAGTCGCCACTGGAGTGAAGTGTCCACTGCAGCACCTTCGACCGTTGGAGCCGAAGACATCAAGGAGTCGAGGTCTCGTTGACTTCATTGTCTTGACTTGAAAGGGTCTGGCAAGAAAACACAAATCCACCCAGAAGCATAATAAGCTTAATTGATTTTGTTGGGCCAACTGGGCTTTTTAATGTTGGCATTTTCTCCCCCTTGGAGGAGCTTCCCAAGCCGAGGTTGGCTGAGAGCAACTCATTGGAGGAGCTGGAACAAGCGCTTGCAGATGCTCAGGTGAGTGATCTCTTGGTCTCTTCCAGTGATGAAAGTGCACCGTCCAGAGTGAGCCGGCGGAAGGTGAAGGATCCTTCTGAACGTGTGAGGAGAGGGCCCAGGGGGCTGTTGTGGTTGTGGGGCGATGAGATTTTTTAAGATGGAGAGGTCAGTTGAAGACCCACTGCTTCCATCATCTAAATGCCTCGTTGCGGATCGTTGCAGTGGATTTTGCTTGAAAGGCGGCAGGCTTCACCCGGTGGCTCTCAAGCAAAAGATGCGCTTACGTGTCAAAGGTATTTTTGACCTCAAGCATCCGGAGTGTGTGTGTCAAAGCCTTCAGGGATGTAAGTTTTTCCTCCAAACAGTTTACTGTTGGGGCTCTCTCTGAGGGAAAAGCATACACAGTTTTATTTTGTTTGCATAACTGTTATTTGAAGATGTCTTCGTTTTTTACCAACCAATTTTTCCGACAGATGACCTCGTTTTAAGCTCATCCACAGGTATCCGAATTCTTCGTGTTCTCTTCGCCGTTGCTTTGGCTAGGAGATCTGAACATCAACCAGTAGCGGCGTCTGTGGCCAGTGGCTACAGCGAAGCGTCACTTGTTTGCACGCTGAAAGGAATAGACCATTGCACCCTAGGAACAGAGGTAATTTGCTTGCTCAAAGGATCCTTGTTACTTCCTGCCGGAAATCCGTCCTTCTTGGGACTTAATCTTTGAGAACATTCTTTCTGCCGTGCAATTTCTCTCCTTTTAAGTTTTCCCACCAAAAAGGGTAATTGCAAGATATTGCAAGTATATTTGGTTGGTGTGCTGGAGGGGGCTTGCAATGGAAGACAGCTTCCAGACTGCACATCAGTCGGCTCACCTTGCTCCTCAGGCTTTCAGGAAAAAGAACCAAGCCGAAGAGGCAGGGTGGACCAACATGGTAAAAACCACCATGGAAGATTCGCATAGAAAGACTCAGCTGCTGTTCCCGATTTTCCCACCTGCTGACCATGCGTCCAGTGTGAAACTTCCTGGGTGGAATGATAAAAGCTTGAAGACTGTTGAAGATTGGAGTGAACGGAACTTTGCTGGAGTGAAGAGAGGAACTCAACAAGCGCTCTATCGGCCATAAAAGCTGTTGGACCCTTGGCCAACCTTTTGGCCATACTCAAATGGTGACGTCACGTGCCCTTTCCGCATCCCGGCGGACGCTGGCAGGACGGTCGCTCCAAGCGGTGCGTTGAGGTCCATAGCGAGAGAGGAAGAGGTGAGAACCGGTCGTTGGGAGGGGGTCATCACCTAAATGAAAAGCTGTTTTTAAGACCAGCATCTTTTCATGGTGTTTAAGACCCGGACACAGCTGTTTTTGGAATCTTTTCATCAACGGAGCAGTGGTTTGGTCTTCCACTTCAAAGCCGAGCAGAGCATGTACAGCCCTGTAAGGCCTTGCAAAAGAGCTTGCTGAGGATGGATTTTGAGGCAGGTTGGCAGTTGACATGAGCAAGACTTTGAGAGCTGTTAAGTCCTTAGTCGAACATGACTTTATTTGTGAGCTCCTAGCTTGTCAGTTTGTTCAGTGCCCCCCAGTACCACAGTTTGTCAGATTGTTCTGCTTGGATGGAACGACCTTATCCTTCGTCTTTCACCCACGCAGAAGCTGCGGACCCGACACCGCGCGGGTCCCGGCGGGTCCTTCGGAAGTATCTGACGTGAGTCCCGTCCCAGGAGATGAAGCGGCAGTTCAGTGGTCAAAAGCCACTCTGGCGTGAGGACCAGGTGCACTCCACGAGGGTGGGGCAGTATTCTGATGAGGAAGAAGGGACGATTTTGTGTTATGTCGGTGTTAGACTAGAATTCTCACTGAATAAGTAGATTCTTCTGGATGGACGCATCTGAGAGCTACAAAGCCTGCTTCAATCTCTCTCGCTCTCGCTCTCTCGCTCTCTCGCTCTCTCGCTCTCTCGCTCTCTCTCTCTCTCTTTGCCCTCTATAATCCTCACCTACATATCATGTCTCTTTACAGATGCTTTGAGGTTCGAGTGTTCAACCCATGCGAACATCGCAGGCCTTGGGGGAGAGCTTCAAGATGGATCCTTACCGAGAGAGCAAGTTGGAGGCCATCCGACTTGACTTTCAGAGGATGCCTATGATTGGTCTCGGAGTCATTAACATGGTTTTAGTCTTGCCGCATGTGCACTTGGATACTGAAATGAAAGGCCAAGAAACACCATTTCCCGCATGGTATATATACACAGTTAAAAAGAAGAAGGGGCCCCATAGCTTGGGGGGCGGTTTGCAGCTAAAGGGATTCCATGAACACTGGCAGGGAATGATTGGAGGTTCATACTCATACTCCCTGTTACCCAAGGAGTAAGGGGCTCACCAATGCTTCACCAGAAGCTCCCGAAATCTTTCCCCACTCTGTTCACTCGCTGATCTGCTCCACCGTTGTACTTGGACGATAGATGAAAGCTTTCTCGGTCCGAACGCGGAGTCGTGGCAAACAGGCAGGTTTTGGTTCCCACGGCATTCGAGGCCTCCCTACAGCGCCTCGATGCGGCCTTCGGGACCCTTCAGGAGCAGCACGAGGCATTCGGTGTCAGCGCGTTTTTGGGTACCGGGGTTTGATGCTGCCTCGCAGGTGTATGTGGCAAAAGTTGGGGAAAGAGTTCCTTTTTGAATGTGGTGAATGGGCACAAAAAGTCGTTGCTTCATCTTGCCTTCTCCAGACTGGAACAATCTCCAGCTGTCTCCCCTGAACAAGGGCAGCCGCAGCAGTTTTGATGCGAAGAGCTTTGGGAAGTAACAGGTGTAATTTATGGAGGTATAGGTGCTCCTCTTCTGTGGAATACCTGAAAATGCCTCCATCAGAGAAGCATGACAATGGAAGATTGCCGCGGTGTATGAGACAGCGGTCTTCTTTGGAAGCATCTTCCACTTCATTCACGGCATTTATGCTACTAGTAGCAAGGACGCTACTAGGGGCTCCTGGCCGTACTACTAGGAACAAGAAGCTACTAGGAGCAAAGGGCATCGCTACTAGGAGCACGGACGCTACTTTGACAGCAAATCTGAGCCACGCGGGTCGCAACGTGGGGTCCAGGGTCGGTCATCATCGCC